ATATATTTACACAAAGAAAAGCATTACTCCATACAAAGACAATAGACAACATCTGAGCAAACTAGCAATAGTTGGCAGACAAACAACACTTACAGACAGGATTACTGGGCTGCAATAACTGCGTTTGTCTCTTTCTTCATGGAGAATCTTCCCCTTCAGGCTTAAGCGTGAAAGTTCTCACAAAGAGACCCGAGATGTTCCCCATCAAAATGGCTGACAGTGAGGTCTGCTTAAATTGAAATCTGCGGAGACTGATGAATATTCTTCGCGGTTCAGCCTGGTTTTCAGTTAGGAGAAGTCGCCCAAATAGAATGGGAAAAAAAATTGGAGGATTTCATTTTTTGGGGTTTAAACAGAAATCTGGGGTCTGCCAGATTTTGTTCGCGGTTCAGCCCGGTTTTCAGTTGAGAGAAGTCGCTCAAATGGAAGAAGAAAAAAAAAAAGAAAGAACCGGGAACTTCATTTTTTATTTCATTTACTGGTGTTTTCAGCTTAACTGTGTTTGGGGCAATCAAGCGGACTTCACTGAACTAAGGGTCACAAGAAGGATGCCAACTTCCTCAAAATGAAACACAAAAAAACACACAGGCAAAAATGAGTGAACGTGTTACACAGCTCATGAAATCGCGACCACAGTGCTTTCTTGTCGTATCTCCATTTTTTTAAACAGTGACCATGTGACTTCTTCTTAAGTTCACTCTTTGTTATGAACTGTATTCACTGTTATTAAAAATGGAGATACGACAAGAAAGCACTGAGGTCGCAAAATACGAACTTCTTCAAAGTCACAACCAAAGACTTCTGCAGCCATTTCATTCTCGTTAACGACGATACAGACTCACACAGGAAAAGGAACATGGCACAGGCGGTTGGAGAGCGCCGCTGGCAGGTCATACTTCGGTTCTTTCCCTCTACTGATCTGTCTGTCTGTCTGTCTGTCTCCCTTTTTCCCCCGCACCAAATGGCGGTAATTTTCTCGATGAGCTCCTCTTCATGCATACAAACAGGAACATAAGACTATAGCTATATACATCCAGCAGAATCGTGTCTGTTTGCCACGGACAGACACATTCTTGAAAGACTTGTGGTATTGCATGGGGCAAGGCGGACATTTATGGTGTGGGTCTCGATGATTCACAATGAAAGGACTAGTCACTTGAAAAACACCGCCAGCAAACAGACGAACTGGCAAAACAAAAAGACAGACCCATCTCCATTTCGTTCATTAATCCAAAGCTCGTAATAAGTTTCTGTCTTTGTCAAAGTTAGGGTCTATTCTTGATGTCATGGATTCGTTCATTAATCCAAAGCTCGTAAAAAGTTTCTGTCTTTGTCAAAGTTAGGGTCTATTCTTAAAATTTCATGGATGAGCATTCATGGAAAACACCACAATAAAAGATGACTTGGAGATTGACATAAAACCTTTTGAGTTTTTCCACAAACACAACGATTTCCTCTTTTCCCTTTTCTTACACTTGTCGAAACTCAGCACCATGGACAGAGAAGAACATACAAAACCAAAAAGAACCATCATAAAAAATACTGCAACGAAACTTTTCACCCAAGTTGTTTACAGTGCAGTGAATTTGACCCAACAAAAAAAAAATGTCAGAGATAAGACGAAAGTATACAGCGGCCTTTAAATAGTAAAAAAACAAAAAAACATTTGTTCTTAAACAGTAGAAGCAATGTCCCCATTCTTACCCCATCCCAACGCTAGCAGAATACACCCCCCCCCCCCCCCCCCGAAAAAAAAGAAAACACAAAAAAAATAAAGAATTTATTTCAAATTGCCTGCATATGCTTCAGAAAGCCAGCAATAAGTCTTTAGCTTTATTTATTGTTGCTTTACTGTATTTCACTGTGACAAACATTTCTGATCTATGATAAAACAGCCAACACAACGCATAGAACATGTGTGAAAAAAACCTAGAGAAACACTACATAATGTTTTGCTTTTTTTACCTGAGAGGAGGCTGCAGTGAAATTAAAATGTTAACAAATGTTTTCTCTTCTTTGTTCTAGCAACTTCCGACCGAGAGTATCACTGCATACAAAACCCAAAAGATGACAAGAGTTTAAGGATATGGAAACTGACACAACATGGTCATTTTCCATGCACCAATCATCCCCTTACGCGTAGGGACAGAACGGAAAATGTTCTCCAAAACTCTCAAACAGTAAACATTTTACAGACATGGACATGTACCTTAATTGAGCTTTAGGATTAAATAAAAAGCTCAAACAATAAAGCAAAGAAAGACAAGGAGCCAAAAGTAAAGACAATTACAAAAGTAAAAAAAAGACTTGCATTTCCAGCCCACTCCAGTATTATTTACATTTTATCCCCGGAGGAGGTTTTCCCACTCTGTCCAGGCCCTCTTGTGGTACAAAACCGAAACAACACCCATTAAAAGAGAACTGTTTTTGGCAATTAATATAACATCAAAGACGTCATAAAGGAATGTTGTGCCCGAGCCGCTGCCAGCAGCTCACTAGCACAACAGTTTCGAATTATGCATTTTTCCCTGACGGTGTGAACAAGCCGTGATAATTCCTTCACCTGTCGTTGTTGTCAGTCCCTCCAATGGAGGAAACGGTCATGTTGCTTAGGTCGCTCCAAATGTTTACCCAAGTTGACCAATGGGTAGCAATAAATTTTCAGCTGCTGGTAAAGAGTTAAAACCCACATGGCGATGAACTGTCTAGGTTCTCAGGTAGATGCCGAGACGCAGACCTGTCAACCCCTACATGGCCAAAAATTGGGAGTTTTCCTCAAAATCCCTCCCAAAAAAATCTGAGTTTTGGGACAAAAATGCCAGTCTCCAGAATCCTAGTTGATTCAGATTACATAACGAACCGAACGTGACGAATAAATACTTATTGCAAATACTCATTAATAAAAATGTGTATTTTCATGTCATTTACGATAAGTCTTGTACAACCGATGGCAACATAATTTTTTTTACAAAAGGATTTTATGCAACTCTGTTCGGGTTTCCCCCTCCCCCCATAGGCAAATAAAATCCAAGGACTTTGATTTAATCCGAGTGGCCTACTTGTCAGGTCTACTACTGAGATAGAGAACTGCAGGATACTTTGTATGTCGTCGGGACAACAGAAAAAAAAGGACAGCTGAGATAGAAGAGGGGGCACTTGTGGCTAGCTGCCCGCTTTATTAAGCTGTGAGTGTTTCAAAGAACAAATACAGACCTCAACCATTAGTCTTTCCACTAAAACACTTCCTCGAAATAGAAAAGTAAAAAAGACAGGAAAAAAATAGGAAAAGAGAAAAAAAATCAGAAACAAAAACACAACAAAAAGTTATCATATTATGTTTTTCACAAAACAAAAAAAAAAGGAAATTCGAAAAGGGAGAAGAAGCAGGAAAAAACAACCCCCAACCCACTACAAAAAGTAATCATACTTTTTTTTTTTTAAACCAAGGTTGGGGAGGGGGAGAGGGAGAGGAGGGGAGGTGATGGTAGTTGGGCTCAGCAGTTTTCAAAGAACTTACTCGGTTACTTGTTTGGAGAAAATGTATTAAAAATATCATCGCAGGCGGTACAAAGTTTTTCAAGTAAGAAAGAAAGAAAGCAACGAATGATCATATCGACCACTGACAGATTTTTTAACCCAGCTTCGACACTCCTCAAAACATGGCAGGAAGCGATGACCCAGATTGCGATATCCACCAAAGGCTTACAATTTGTCTAAAGGGTCTCACTGAATTTTTGTTCAAATTTTCGAATTTAACAAATTGTGAGCAAAAACAAAAGATTTTTAAACATAACCTTTCTGACACTGAATACAAATGAACCCAGAAACCCCTGTTCAACATTTTGCTGCCTCATCTCGCCGATAGGCGACGTCTACCACTCAGTTTCTTTGGATTTTCCCCAAAATATGATGGCAAAATGTTAAGAGAAAAATAATTTTGAACATTCTATACATGTGGAATTTTAAAAATAAATCTCCAGAAGAATGCCAGTCCTGATTTCAGCACAGATTTGCGCTCCACAAACCAAGGAAGATACACACACACAAACTCTGGCGATCTGCCAGCGACTGGATTGCTTTTTGTTTCCCCGCTCCTCCTAAAGCTTGAGCTGCTCAACTTTGCTGTGTCTGCTCAACATTGCTCGACGGCTGCACGGAAACACACAAAATATAAAGTGATAGAGTAGATAGAAAGAATCATGGCACTAGTAACAAAAAGGAACAGACGAACGAGAATTGAAACCAAGGTCATTATGATAACTGGAAGAATAACAATAGTAATAGAAGTCGTATGAAAATAAATAAAAATATAACTACTACTATTCTACTACAACTACTACTAATACCACTACTACTACTACTAGTACTACTACTACTACTACAACTACAATTACTGTTACTACTACAACTACTACTACTAGTACTACTACTACTACTACTAGTACTACTACTACTACTACTACTACTAGTACTACTACTACTACTACTACTACTACTACTACTACAACTACTACAACTACTACTACTACTACTACAACTACTACCACTGTTACTACTGCAACTACTACTATTACTACTGCTACTACAATTACTGTTACTACTGCAACTACAATTACTGTTACTACAGCCTACTGCAACTACTACTACTACTACTACTACAACTACAATTACAGTTACTACTACAACTACTACCACTGTTACTACTGCAACTACTACTATTACTACTGCTACTACTACTACTACTACCGTATCTATCAACAGCCCAAATTACCTGTCTGAGACGACCAAGCTTTGTCAAAAATTATGCATTTTCCCCTGACGATGTGAACAAGCCATCACAATTCATTCACCTGTCGTTGTTGTTAGTCCCTCCAGTGGATTAAAAGATGATCATGTATCTTAGGTCGCAATAAATTTTCAACAGCTGGTAAGGGAAGCGTGTGTTCCATCATTACCTATAAGCCACAAATCAGTCCGTAAACCCAGTCCATATAAAGTCAACACAAGAATACAAGAGAAGTGTCGCTTGTTCGCCAAGTGGTAGCGACCCATTTGTTTGTTTTACTACTGCATTCAGCCTTCCTTGTCTGACATATTTCGTTTGTTTTGACCTTTCATGGAACCATATTTTCAATAAAATAAAAATAAAACTAACATAAAAAAGTTCCACAAAATCCATCCTATCCTCTTCCCACTTTCAAAAGATTTTTAAAAAAAGAAAATGAAAAAATAAAAACATTTTAAGGAGACCTATAGCAGCCCTAAGCCTGCGACCACCTCCAGCTGGGACCTCAGGAGAAAATGGTTTGTTTTCTTCATTTTGATCATTCCTGCCACCCAAAGACAGCCACCTGTCTTATAAAGGCCACTTTTCTCCTCGACAATGCGTGGCCGTCTTACACACGTTCCACTGTAATACAGGGATGCCACTGGACTTTTGAAAAAATACCGGAAATTTTTTCGAGACTAGATTTAGCAGGTGACGAAGCAATAAATGCAACAATATAATATTATATCATTTCAACAAAAAGACAAAGTTCCTAACAGACGATGCCCAAAATAACGGGAAAAAACGGAAAAACGACATTCCGGGTAATAATATTGATAATAATGGGAAAAATTACAACAGAAACGGTGGCAATAGCAATGAATATAACTTGCACGGCGTACAGATCACCTACTTAGTACACGGCTTCGCCTTTCATAAGCTGGACTTGAGTGTTCACTTTTTTCATCCATGGCCTCGTTAGCTTTCACACACACACTCACACACACATACACACACAGGGAAACACGCACACACACAAAAAGAGAACAATAAACAAACAAACGCACAACACAGAAACAAGTTTTAGGTTGAGTAAGAATTTTACAGCACTTGCAACACAATATGGTCACATAAATGCCGAAGATTAAAGGTGTTACAAGAGAGTAACAAACACAACATCAAAAAAAAAAAGGAGGAGAGATAAGAACGAAAGATGTTTGATAGGAAAGAATGAGCAAACCACACAAGCGCACCCACCAACCACCCACACTTCCACGTCTTATTCAGACAAGAAATCCGACATTTCACTGAAAAAACAAAATGGGATACCAACCTTTTTACGGCCAAAGTAATGATGTGCCAGCTTGTACAGCTCGTTGGCCAGGTACACCGATGGGAACATGATGTGAACGGGGAACACGCTGAAAAAGAAAAACCATATGCGAGGCATCGTGGTGAAATTAGGCGCTGGTCAAAATAATGAAACTGAAGAAACCAGCAATTTTATGCTCATCTGGCAATTTTTATTGACTTCTTGTTTTTTTTTTGTTTTTTTTTGCTCAACACCTTTTACGTCCATTTAAAAATACATTCCTGTATTACATGGATGTTACTGAAAAACTTAGATTAGAGGCATAAAAGTAAATAAATTTTGAGTTTCCGAGCCTACTTATGTCATGGAAGTAACACCTTTTACGTCCATTTAAAAATACATTCCTGTATTACATGGATGTTACTGAAAAACTACCTTTGATTAGAGGCATAAAAGTAAATAAATTTTGAATTTCCGAGCCTACTTATGTCATGGAAGTAACACCTTTTACGTCCATTTAAAAATACATTCCTGTATTACATGGATGTTACTGAAAAACTACCTTTGATTAGAGGCATAAAAGTAAATAAATTTTGAGTTTCCGAGCCTACTTATGTCATGGAAGTAACACCTTTTACGTCCATTTAAAAATACATTCCTGTATTACATGGATGTTACTGAAAAACTACCTTTGATTAGAGGCATAAAAGTAAATAAATTTTGAGTTTCCGAGCCTACTTATGTCATGGAAGTAACACCTTTTACGTCCATTTAAAAATACATTCCTGTATTACATGGATGTTACTGAAAAACTACCTTTGATTAGAGGCATAAAAGTAAATAAATTTTGAGTTTCCGAGCCTACTTATGTCATGGAAGTAACACCTTTTACGTCCATTTAAAAATACATTCCTGTATTACATGGATGTTACTGAAAAACTTAGATTAGAGGCATAAAAGTAAATAAATTTTGAGTTTCCGAGCCTACTTATGTCATGGAAGTAACACCTTTTACGTCCATTTAAAAATACATTCCTGTATTACATGGATGTTACTGAAAAACTACCTTTGATTAGAGGCATAAAAGTAAATAAATTTTGAATTTCCGAGCCTACTTATGTCATGGAAGTAACACCTTTTACGTCCATTTAAAAATACATTCCTGTATTACATGGATGTTACTGAAAAACTACCTTTGATTAGAGGCATAAAAGTAAATAAATTTTGAGTTTCCGAGCCTACTTATGTCATGGAAGTAACACCTTTTACGTCCATTTAAAAATACATTCCTGTATTACATGGATGTTACTGAAAAACTACCTTTGATTAGAGGCATAAAAGTAAATAAATTTTGAGTTTCCGAGCCTACTTATGTCATGGAAGTCACAAACTTCGAAGGTCATTTTCTGGCTACTTTTACCTCTTACACCAGATAACCTTCAGCTCCTTCAATCGCAAATATCTCGTTTTCTATGCAAGACAGATAGGTATATTTTTCATTGAAAGCTAGATGAATGAATAATCTTACAAATCATACCAATAACTCCACATGCCCACAAATCGACAAGGGCCTGATTCCACTAAGTTGCGACACATTTTAATTTTACAGTCTTCTTAAACCAATCTCAATGACTTCACAAATAGCACCCATATGAATACCTGAAGTCTGATATCTTTTAACATGAGTGTTTTTAACTCCCATCAATACAATTTAGATCATCTAGGAGAGAGGTTTTCATAAACAAGTGTCTGAGGAAGTTACTGAGGATCAGATGGACAGACAGGGTCACCAACGAGGAAGTATTAGGAATAACGAGACAGAGCCCAGTCAGAGATGAGGTGGGAAGACGGTGTTGGCGATGGATAGGACACACTCTCAGGAAGTCAAGCAGCTGCATAACAAGAAAAGTGTTAGATTGGAACCCACAGGGTAAAAAATCAAGGGGAAGACAACGTTGAACCTGGAGGCAGAAGAGTAACGGAAATGGATGTACAGAAAAGTGTGAAGACATGGAGTGACATCAAGCAACAAGCCCAAGATAGGAAAAAGTAGAAAGTGTTTGTTCGTTGTCTGTATCCTGATGCAGGGTGAGAAAGGCAATGAAGATGATGGGAGGTTTGGGACCCTGCTTGTCAAAGCAAATCCAGGCCGAAAGAGATACAGCAGAAAGACTGACATACTCGATAAAAATATAAAAATATTACACATTAACGACTTCACAATCCCACATGGTGACAATCCCCCCCCCCTCCCCCTTCCCCAACACAGGCAGTACAATATATGTACTTACAACTGAGATCTGGGCGGGCAGGCCACAGTCGCTCCGAGGATGCTAAACGGAAACAGCAAGGTAAAGGCCATGGTCCTGTAAAGAGAATATCGCGTTTAGTTTTAGTATAACTTTTAGTATAGTTTTAGTTTTAGTAGAGGTTTTACGGCACTCGCAACTGCATACAGTCATATGAGCGTCGTATAACTTTTAGTAAGAGCTTTACAGCACTTGCAACACAATAAGGTCGTATAAGTGCCCAAGTTTAGAGGTGTTCCAAGAGAGTAACAAACACAAAAAAAGAAGGAGGAGAGATCAGGACAACAGATGTTTTTAGTTTTAGTAGAGGATTTTACGGCGCTCGCAACTACATAAGGTCATATGAGCGCCAGAATAGATGTTTCATAGAAAAAAAAGAACAAACTACAACAGAGCACCTGCCAACCATCCACGAAAGCCTGAGTTTCTAGCAAAACACTATTTTCATATATATATAGTCAAAATTGTCTAAGAATGGCTACATATTGCCAAGGAGAAAAATGTCCTTTTTTTAAATAGTAGAGGGTTTTACGGCGCTCGCAACTGCATACGGTCATATGAGAGCCAAGGGGTGGGTGTCAACAGAGAAGTCTTTACAGGGAATCAGACTTAAACTGCTCACCTCTCTAGCTTCAACAGCACAAAGTCTGCTTCGACTATCAAGGCACCCCGGAAATAGCAGGTCACAAGAGAGTGACAAACATACAAAAAAAGTAGAGGAAAATGACAATAGTAAGGATCAGGAAAGAAAAAGCAGCAGTTTCCTGTTGTAGCTCAGGCACAGTCATGAGCATGACATGATGAATCAGCCCATTTACAATTCTACTGGGCTTGAACGAGAAATGTCCCCCTTTTAGGAACGGCCTAAAGACACTACAGTCAGTGGCACCACCCCGAAAAATGTCTCTCTTACATAGTGTCATTATAAGTTAACAGAAAAGAAAACACATTGGGGGGGGGGGGGGTGGCACTGGTACAGGTGATTGTTCTATACAGGTGGCTGTTATAGCAGGTTTGATAGCATACTTTTAAAAACTTTCTTCATATTTATTGTAACAGATAGACGGATGGAGGGTTGTTGTCGGCTTTGTTGTCACGATTAACTGAGTAAATGATTACACATCCTAGTGAGGACATGTAGATTTATGGTTCTTGCCTTGTGCACACCAAGATCAGGTTGTTGAGATTGAGTGGTATACCTTGTATCATGTTGTATTATGCAAGGGAAGGTCTTGATGATTCCTGTTTTCTTGGAGCACTTTAGAGAATAGGCATTATTTTTTATAATTTATTACAAATTTTTGTTTCAATACATTTGTCTTTCACAATTGATATTGACAACAGCATGACTTAGATTTGGTCGCTTTTAAGGACAAGTGGGCTAACCCAAATTTCAGGGGTTTCCAGAAATCTTGGCCTACACCAAAAGTGGGCATTGCCCTACCTATAGGAGAAGTTTGGTTTCATTGGTGTGTATATTTGTTTGGTTAAAGAGAAAACTCACTTTGCCTTTTAAAGAAACTGAACAAGTGGCAAAAACTTTACCTTTGATTTTCTCAAAACAACATTTTTCAGGATAGCCCTCGTGTGCTTAAAAGCGACCATTTATGTATAAATGTATCTTTTCTTTTCTATACCTCTTGTGTTTCTGTCACAGTCTGTCTTACTCCCCCCCCCCCGCTCCTGTATCAAATGAACAATACTGTGTCCATATTTGTACTCAAATGAACAAACCCTACCAGATCTACATTGCTCCCCATAAATGATAGATGAGAAAACGTTCTCAGTCTGAAAAACTAAGGGCGTGTTCAGCTAAAAGGTAAAGCAAGCTGGACGGTACCTCATTCTTCACTTAGCTTCGTGGGCGGTTGGCGGGTGCTCTGGTGTGGTCTGCTTCTTCTTTCCTATTAAACATCTATCGTCCTTGTCTCCCCTTCTTCTTTTTTATGTTTGTTGCTCTCTTGTAACACCTTAAATCTTCTGGCGCTCATGTGACTTTATGCAGTTGTGAGTGCCGTAAAACCCTCTACTACAACTAACTCACTTAGCTTCCTTCGGCAGTGTGATCCGTTGGTTTTAGTTTCAGTAAGAGTTTTATGGCACTAACACAGTAGGGTCATACAAGTGCCCAAAATCAGAGGTGTTACCGGGGTTACCGGGGAGTAGCAAAAACAAAAAAGGAGGAGAGATAAGGACGACAGATGTTTGATAGGAAAGAAGGGGCAAACCACACCACAGCACCCGCTACCCACCCACGAATTTTTGGTCACTAGATACCTGATCAGTTGGAATTTTTACAGTAAGACGACGTGATACAGTGATTATAAAAGTAAGACCACATGATATGTGAGGCAGCATGGTAAAATCAGGCGCTCGTCAAAATAATGAAATCAAATATACCACCAGCATTTTTCTGCACGTTGACCATTTTTATAGAAATTTTATTTTTTCGCTCAGCACTTTTTATATAAATGAAAACACATTTCCACGTGAATTTTATCGAAAAATGTCGATTAAAGTCACATAATATGTCATTTTTCAGTTTTGAAGGACTCACAAGCTATTGAAGTTACCAAACTTTGGCGGCCATTTTCTTGCTAATCTTACCTTTGACAACAAGCGACTCTCACATCCTTCAATCATAAATATCACAACTTCTATTCAAGATAGCTGGGAATTTTTATCACCTCAGCAAGACAAAGGAAAAGGCTTTATGGAGATACCAATAGCTCCATATATGCCAAAAACATTGACGAGCGCCTGATTCCACCACATCGTGTCATATAGGGCAAAAACACATGAGACACCTGTCCATTGTGCAGCGGAGGAACCCCAAGATTTGGAGCACTGGCTGCAGAGATCCCCCGCCACGGAGGTTCAGCGG